GGCAGTCCCCACGCGGCCCCGCCCCGCCGCCGGTAGGCCCCGCCTCCGCCCCGCCCCCGAGCGCTGCGCGCTAAGCCCCGCCTCCAGGGCGTGGACTGGGTTGAAAGGAAAACAGGGAGTGGACTTCCAGCTGACCAGAAGCAAAGCTCTTCTAGGGAGCGGTTACATATAGGAGAAGCTCTTGCCCTAAACTACTGGTGGCTCCCGGAGCGCTGAGCTAAAAAATCTAGGAAACTCTTCTCCGTAAATCGAGACCCTCTCCTTGCTGCCAGCCAAGGGACAGGGCATATGCCCTCAATTACTTTCTTTTTTTCTTTATTTTAGGGATCTAATCAAACATTTATTTTTGTCTTTATTCCTTCTAGATACTGCCAACCTCAGGTTTTTTTGTTTGTTTTTTTGTATTTTAGGGAAGGGTTTACAGGGTGTTCTGGGTCTCACTACTAGATCAGACTTGTAGTGATCCGCCTGTTTCCAGCCCCCCAAGAACTGGAATTATAGGCGCCACCACGCCCAGCCTCAATCAGCACTCCCTGGGGGCAGGGCCCCCGTGCTAGGCCTGGGGATGAACCCCTGGCCCCCGCGCCTGCTTGCAGGGGCTTTAATCCGGCAGAGCTATTTGGCAGGCCCTAACCTCAGTTATTTTTCTAATCACTAAGTACTTATACTGGACGTTCTGGTGTCCTACGTTCAAAATAAATTCCAAAGGTTTAGAATTCTACGGAGAGACTCAAATGGCCTTACAGCTACAAATGGGAGTCAAATAAAACCTATCCTTTTAAGTTGTATGTTTCAGGCAGTGTCTAGCGTTGGGAAAGCTGATGAATACAGAAAATTGGTACAAATGATCATGTGTTCTAGAAGCTTTAGAAGATGTGTTGCTTCTTTATGTATTAGAAGAGAACTCTATTTTACCTCAATGGCATCAGGGATAAATGAACCCTGTATTCCTAGCTGAGGAACAAATTTAAATTTGATTAGACAGCATATCTAATATTGGAAGTGATTTTGAAGCAAAGTTAACGATATAATTGGGCTTACAAATTCTATGCGTATATCATTTACATATACATTAAATCTATTCCTATGTCCACAGACTTAGTAAACAAATAGTATAAGATATAGAATAGTAGTTCTCAAAGCTTCTGACAAAGTTCTCAAAATCTTTTTATATTCTAAAAAAAATCTAACAAACTGTCAGACTCCATAAATAAATGGGTCTAAGAGCTAGTGAGTTACAATTGCTAGGTCTCAAAAAAAGTTTATAAATATACGTGTTAGCTCGAATGTTCATGCTTTCATTATATATGTTCTAATCTCTCAGATAATTTGTTCTTTCCTAGAAGATAACAAAACCCAGGTAACCATACAGGTAAAATCTAAAACCAAAAAGTTTTATCTTGCTCAGTGAGTCCCAGATTTTTGACACAAGCTACAGAAGTTAAAAGGGTTTACAGAAATAAATTTGTCTGAGTTGAGGTGTTTCATAGTAAAAAGGATACAAAATAAAATAATAGATGAAAAATAAAATAGTAATACTAGCATCCTATGGGAAAGAAGGCCAGGAGGAAAACAGAGAAACAGTTATGCTTTCCTGGAGGCAGACAGAGACAAGAGACATTTTAAGCTGAAATGTCCAAAGCTGCTAGAGGAAAAAAAAAAAAAAAAAAAAGGTGTTCCTGATGAAGTCAAAAAAAGTTTCAGATCGATAAGATCATGAGTCTTTACCTCTCAGCCTACAGAAACCCATGTTAACCACCAATATAAGGAGAAAGACTGTTAAACTTTTAATAGATGCTTATGCAGATTTGTCAGTAGTCACACAGCCAGTGACCCCACTTACAAACTGGAGTACTCAGTGTTTTCCCTAGGTCTGACAATTCATGTACCCCCAGTAACGGTAAAGTTGGTGAGACATAAGAGTAGGTCAGCTTATTTGAGACAATACACAATGGCCATAAAAGATAAGACATTAAACTTCACATTTAAGAGATCTCTGCCAATTGACCCATAAAAGTTTGTAGGGTTTTTATATGCTGAGGTCCCCCGGACCCTATCTTTATCATTTTTATGGGAAATCATTACTGTTTACTTGGTAAAAATAATTTTGACTATTCATAGTTATCCTGCTGATATTATTTGACCCATAAATGTTCAATAATTTCTTTGGCTTTGTCTCCTTTAGACTCAAAGCTATACATTCACCCAAGAGAAAATACCTGTCATCTATCGGGCCTTTAGATAGAATCTTTAAAGAATATATCTGACTGCCGGTCAACAACTATGACCCATTTCAGCATAAAGAAGCCAGAGTGGTCTTCGCCCATATTTCCCTTCACAACAGTTCTGATAGGTTTCAGAGGCAACAGTGATGGTGGCAGTGGTGGCGGCACAGCAGAGTATCAGAAATGGGGGAGGAAAGCCTTTATTGACGCTAAACACAAGGAGAGGACCAAGGGCAGGGAGATGGGCAGATCCTCTGACCTGAGACAGGGAGCCTGAGACTTTATGGACTTCTGCCAGGGGCGGAGTTTGAGAGTCAGGTTTAGTGACATATGAGGAGCTGATTGGAGGCTCCCTTGTGTGGGTGGGAAAGGTCACAGGAAGTTGTACCCGGGGCTAGAGTAGGGAAGGAGGAAGAAGTGGTCATTGGGAAGACAAGCTGTTGCTTTAAGGGCTTCAGCCATATCAGAAGACTACCATAATTCAGCAATTCTTACTAGGGCCATAACCTATCAAGTTCAGGTTGCTTCTTCAGAGGGGGGAATATTGCAGGCAGCCAAGTTAGATAAAAATATTATAAGCAGTCAGACAGGGCCAGGCCCTCAAAGGAGACAGCACAAAAGATGAGGGCCTTGAAACTGTGGGAAGGATGGATGCTCCTGCTGTGAACCAGACCTAAAGACCACCTAAAGGCCAAACAAATGCTAAAATAGTAGCACCTGGGATTGATATTCTAAATAGGTATCTATCATCTGGAAAGACCCAAGTGAGTCACTGGCCCAACCCCCAACAGGAAGAGACCTTGTCCCATATTCCAACCACCAACAGGCTTTATTCATGCCTACTTACTTGTGACTCACTCACTTCCCCATTTGGTCCTGGACTTAATCAATTTTACCTGAGCAATGGTTCTTATAATCCCATTGGTTGACCATAGTTTTGTCCCACCCCACATCCACCTATGAGAGTTCCCCCTTTCTCCACCTTAGCCCCACATGGTTTTACACTATTAAAGTCCCTGGAAGAGACAGCTTCCCAGGGAACAACCCACTGAGAAACCCCTCCTGTCCCTCTCTTGGACAAGAGCTCTCTTTCCCTCAATAAATATATTCTGCTCATAACAAATAAATAAATAAATAAATAAAAATTTAAAAACAAAATAAAATCAAACTTTCAGGGACAAGGGAGATAGCTCAGTGGAATAAGTGCTTGCTGGCAAGCACAAGATCCTGAGTTCGATCCCTGGTACCACAAAAAAATAATAATAATTAATTAAATAAAAAATCAAACTTTCATTTGTTTGGGCTCAATATATTCATATTAACTAGAGTTATTAATTTTTTAAATAAAAAACCTTAAAATGTGTTTATTAATTCATTTTTTAAAATAATAAACCTGGTGCTGTAAAGATCATTATAGTTTTAAATCACTTAGAGATATTTCATTATTTTGGTTGTGGGAGAAGGTACTCTGAATGCATTTGTTGTACTCTTTTTTTTATTCTTTTTTTTTTTTTTGAGGAACCAGGGATTGAACTCAGGCCCTTGAGCTTGCCAGGCAAGCGCTTATTCAACTGAGCTATCTCCTCAGCCTCCATTTGTACTCTCGAGCTATGTCCAAGATAATTTTTTAAACTAAAAACTACTTGTTTTAAGGTGAGTATTGTAATCAGGGTTTATAAGGAAAGGACTTAAGAGAGGATACATAACTTATAGGATTATTCTATGATAAAGAACCGAATCCAAAAGAGTTCCAGGGCCAGGGAGATGGCTCAGTAGAATAAGCACTTCCCTGGCAAGCACAAGGGTCTGAGTTCAATCCCCTTCCACAAAATAAAAAAATTTTAAAAAGCGTTCCAGAGATCCATCCACACACTAGAGATGCAAAGAATCCAGCTGAGAGCCTAGATCCCAAGGCAATGTACTGCATGATCCAGCTGAAGCCCTAGAGCCTATGACAATGCCTCATGCACATCTGTGTCAAGGACCTGCATGGGAAGGCCCAAAGACTAGTGGTGGAAGCTAGAAACTCTGTGCTAGCAAGATGAAGGATTCTGTGACAGCAGGCTGAGGGATCTACACTGGAGCCAGGAAGCAATGCTCCAGTTGGGGACCAGAGCTCCCAGAAAAGGACCACAACCATCCTCAGGGACAGCAAGGACCCAAGCTCCTCCAGCTGAAAATAGCTGAGTTCATAGAAAGAAAACAAGCACAAGCTTCTCCAGGAGAATCAGCAGCACAACATCTTCACCTCCAGTTCTCTTTTTATGCTGTCGACAACAATCCACAGGGGGGTCATCCTTACCCAGTACCACACCCCAGTACCACACTAATTCAGATCAGCTGGATGTTACAAGTTACCTGTTAGTAAATCCCCCACAATGAGAAAAGCATCCTTTTTTACCTTTATTTTTTAAAATCTCTTAATTATCTCACTTTCTAGAGAAAAGTAC